ATTTCATGTTAAAGTTAAAGTAATAGTTCTATATATAATAGTTCTATATCCAATCTGTAGTTTCTATCAACTTAAACTTATTAGCGATAATCGGAACGACTCTTTAGCCAATTCCGGTTACTAAAATTTAGTAAAATACCGACAACATGAGAACCGTTTCAATTAGGTGGACGAAATTTCAGAGTGTAAGTATATCGTATACACTGGTATCTGTTGTTTTGTGATTTTTCAATAAACGGAAGTGGTATATTGTTTTACTTTACAAGAACTTGAGAGTGCCTTCTCGGGAAGATGAGGCTCGTTAGCTGGGGACAGCCACTTTTCTAGGAGAGACAACTCCAAAATCAAAGCTGCTTGTTGTTTGTTCTTGGTTGGACAAAGGCTATGGAAGCAAATCCAAAAGAAAAGCAGGCTGAAATCGGAGTCAATGGCCTCAAATGCCCATAACCAGCTGATACGGACAAACACGTCTAGACTCTGGCCCAATACACCCAACCCCAAAAAACATGTATGGTGAGCCCCTAATCTGGAGACGACACCGCAGCTCGTCTACGGCGTTTTCTTGTGTTGGATTCCTCCCGATTTGAATTGAATAATATTAAGAAATAATTTAAATGTGTACCAAGAATGTCAAATTAAACATCATTACTAGATCTTTAGTATCAGTCCAGCATGCCATACGGCAGATGAATTAGCCTACAGATACTGGTCCCGTGATCTCACCATATGAAGGAATAAAATATGGCTTAGTATAGTACTTGTGCCTTATTCTAAAAGCCTTTACTTTAACCCTCTGATAAGTGACGCTCTTCGGATTAGAGCCCTTGATCCAATGCATGAATAGGCACTCTATAGTGACATCACCCATACTTAGTTGAGGTGGGAAAATATTAAGTTTATAAAAGAAACAAGTGCGTCTTTATTATTAATAGTCATCCCGTGTTACTGTTGTATTATTTCGACCAGCAGGCGAGCGACACTTAAAAGATGATTTGAAGTTCAAGGTACAAGTTACCGGTCACGAATGTCGTGGTTGGGGCCGTGATTTCTGAACAGTTGAAGAGCTCAGACAAACAGCCGTCTCCTCAAACATTGCGAGGATAAATATTTTGTTGCTGTTTGTAAAGTGAATTAAAAGCTTCAATCAGCGAAACAATCTTTCCGCTTCACATTGATTTAATGTTTTAAAATAATGATTACGTGTTGAAATCAATTAGTTTGGAAATTGATTACTCACTCACAACCTGGCAGGATGACTGGAGTCAAACCAGGCATGCGTAGCACTTAACATTCGACTTCTGACTGAGAATCCGAGACGTTCAACACAACGAATGATTGTGACTAAGATGGTCTGCTACAATCACACAATAGCATGAACTACAAACAACACTTTTTGTAGAAATGCACAGAGGTTTTAAATTTTTTATTTACTCCAGACTGGCTAAATGTTACAATTGTAATGTAATATAGGCTACTTATTGAAATCAGCGCTGAAACAATGCTTCAGTAGCCCACACGTGCGATTTGTGAATCTATATTAAAAATAATCGATTTGAAAATTTTGAATCGTTTTACCTTTCCACCGAAACTGATGATTCCAATGATAGCAGAAGCTCTTAAAGCATGTCACTTGATGATGAGTAGCCTACAGGTACAATAAGGTCTCTTGAATCTCACCGACAAAATTGTTGAATTTTAGACCTGGAAATTTACAAATTACGGGTTTTCGTGATGTTACATGATTATTAATTTGAAACCCTAAATAAAAATAATGTTTGGACACCCTGCTAAGTTGAGGAACCAATCGCACTGACTTCACTGAGTAAAAATAGTTTAAATAAAAAAATTACAGGTATGGCCTCATAATAGTCATAATGATACGGTCCACATACCGGCACAATCAAAGCCTTTGCTCGTAGTAGTAGTAGGCCAAATACTATTAATAGTAATACCAACTTGGTGGATTAGTGTGTCATAAATGAATCATTCATAAAACACCGAAAGAAGTTTACCGAAGTTGGCAAACTCTTACATAATAAATATAATTTTACTTCTATTTCTAATATTTTTAGAAGTTTATTCCAATTTTCTTTTACTGTTAGTAGTGTTAGTGTTTCTTCCATTTTTTTTTTTTGGGGGGGGGGGGGGGGGGGGGGGGGAGAAACTCTGCTGTGTTAGTCAATGCAATCTAGTATATTTTTTTAGTACTTTTGATCAAGTATGGTAATGAGCTCACTATCGACATCTATAGTATATAGTGAGAACGAGAAACGATACACATATTGTAAAAGTTTATATATAGATGGACGCAATAGTCTCGAGAATCCAGGCAAGAACTGCTCGCCAAAGCGGCGCTTACGGGGCTCAGGACTCTAGGACTACGCACGGAGAGATAAAAACAATGCACTAAACAAAAATCGTTCCTAAATCATGTGTGCGAATTAGAACTGGAAAGTAAAAATCCAAGACATGGGAATGAGATGTTATAGGAAACTACTAGGCCACCTCATTCAAAGACCAAGAGTTTCTTCCAGTCATCTCTTCGGGGGGGGGGGGGGGGGGGAAGATGAAAGGGGAATTTATATAGAAAACATATGCTTTTACCAGTGTCGTCGCCCCCCCCCCCCCCCGAAGAAAAAGTCTGGAAGAAACACAGCAAAGACCGCATTTCCAATGACGTAGTGCGTATGCGACGGAATCCAAAGGTTGTGATATGAAGACTTGCCAAGGTTAAAAAACGAAAACTGAAATGGTCCAGACATGTCACAAGGTAGAAGTAGAAGAAAGAAGAAACTAATCAAACCCCATTACTATTAGATAGAACCAAGAAAAATAAAGCGGGAGTGATCTCCCCTAAACTTTCTCGAATATTCTTATATAATAACACTACGGGGATGGCAACTCGAGATATAGACATATTTTTAATTAATTATTTTAACTTTTAAAATTGAACAGAATCTCAAGGAAAGATAATTTCGCGCCAAGTGAACGCAAACAATGTGTGTGAAATAGTGCGGAATATTAGTACTTTATAAATACATATGCGTTTTTTTGATAAATCGGAAATAACGAAAATACTTCCGGTTACCAGAAATTACTCAAAATTTGAAAGAAGGCAGAGAATAGTTCTTTTACTAATTAGTAAAATTTCGTCTATCAGTTTGAAATAGTACTAAAGTTACATGCTTTGAAAAACCAAAAGTAGAATAATTGACAATAAGTCCCATTTCCGACTACCGGAAATTGAAGAAAAGTTGATACAGAACTATGGAGAACGCCCAATCAGCGGACCCAGGTGCTAAGAAAACTGGGACGCCTACTCTCTCGGTCACAACCATCCGATTAGAAAAATGTTAAAATGTTTATGGCGGTGGGGGTGAATGTTATTATAATGCATCATAAGCTAATATACTTTATACAGATGTACATAGGGTGATCTATCATCTTGAGTCTCTATAAATACAGATGTACAAAAAAGAAAAAAAAAGAAAACAGCACATGCTATTGCGAGTGATTATTTTCTTTTAATTAAATTAATATATGATATATGAGGTAATGAGATAATTTCAATTGCGACGTTTCAAAAATGTATTTTATTTTGTGTGTAGGTGTCTGTTTGCTGAATGTTCTTTTTGAATATTTTTCCGTGAGCGCTATTTTCTTTCTTTTCATGTTACATTTTCTGAAAAAAATAATGTCAAAATTTTGAAACTGACATTAGCGACGTCGCCGTTGGCCTTTAAAATTTAATTCGTTTTAATAACGGAAACAACTTCCATTTTGAAGGTCTGTGAGTATGTATATGAAGGGGGTGGGGGGAAGGGGCGGCGAAACATCACGCCCCTGCACAGTGGCGTAGCGAGATCGGGTGTCACCGCCCCCCAGAGGCGTAGCGACCCTTCCCGGGGACAAACTTTCAATTTTCGATTTGCACCAACCCCCCCTCCCCCCCCCCCCCACAAATTTTATATATTGTGCTATTTTTTTTTTTGCCTTGGTGTCACCCGGTGCGGTCCTTAGACTAAAGTTCATCCTCCTATATACAAATTTAATAAAATGTACTGTGTGTGAGTGTGTGTTAGCCTTACAATGCTAATAACTACTAAATAACTAAAGTAAGAATATATTCTTTTCGGAACTCTCTGCTATATCATTATAAAAATTAAGATATAAATAAACAAATTATACACACTGAGCACTTGGTATAATAACAATCATATTCTCGCATCTGAAACAGTTTGTATTTGTATTAAAAACTAGGGTCAAAGACAAACCATTCCTGCTTTCTTTAACTTCGTCGCTATTTTGCCACAGAAGTATGAATTTACTAGCGTGCTGTCCTGTCCCCGAGCGTTGCCGCGGGGATTGAAGAAAGTATGACGTAATATTTATTAATCCTATATTCTTAGACGTGTGACTTTGTTTTCTAAAACTGAATGAGAATGTAAACAATGCCTACGCTTTGATCATATTTATCGGGGCATAGGTTTACCTACATTACCGCATGAATGAAAGCCTTGAGTGCACGTTAATCAGTAACCGTAATCAGAGGCGTAGCGGGGGGTGCGGACAGCACTGGGTGACACCATTTAGGGGGGGGGGGGGGTGACACCCAGGAAAAAAAAAGCAAAATATATATAGAAAAACTAGAGGGGGGGTGCAAATCGAAAACTTGAGGGGGGGGGGGGTGCAAATCGAAAACTTCAGGGGGGGGGGGGGGTGCAAAATAAAAAATCTGGGGGGGGGGGGGGGGGTGACACCCGACCTCGCTACGCCACTGACCGTAATAATACTATTAATAGTGAGGTAGAACACTTTTGTGTCCGCCCAGGTGTCAAGAGACGTAGAGGGGCTCTCTCGGGAGTCCCCGATTACACCAACCTACCGCAGGGGCGCCGCGTACTGCGACTGGCTCCTTTAAACTAACGTAAACGCCATGATGCTAACAGGATAATCTAGGGCGTAAAATAGCACCCTGTCGGGGCGCAGGCAGACGCGTCTGATTCAATTTGGTGATAACTATTGCACTGTTTAAAACGAACTTAAGATAAAACGAACTTAACAACACAGGATAGCACGGGGCGCCACCTTGCACCATGCCGGGGCTCCGATGAACACGCCTATTTCAATTTATTGAGCGACTATAACGGCCCATCTAATCCATTGCCTATCGCACTGTTTAGAACGAACGTAGGCGCCATCGCGCTCACGGAAAAGCCAGGGGCGCTAAATCGAAACCTGCAGAGGTGCCTGATTCGATATAGTTAACGATTGTAGTTGCCTATTGTGGCTTTAGTGTATAGTTTTTTTTTAACGAACATAGGCGCCGTAGTTCTCGCACGGGAGCTTCGGGCCGCGCAATCAACGGGGCGCCGGTGGTTGCGCTTGTTGCAGTTTTACCGCTGAATATAATAACGGATGCCAAGTGCCAACATAGCCGCTCTAGAACTCTGGGCGCCAAACTTGTATTGAAGAAATCGCACCCTCCATGGTGCTGCCCATAAGAAATTTTAATTTTCTTTTTCGCTTAAATCTGCTCGGTAGTATTCTCATTTACTCCCCAAAGTTTCATGACGATCGGATCAACGGTGTGAAACCGCAATCAACTTTTATTTTGTATATACCGTATATAGAGAAGAATCGAATCGCGCCTTGCCGGGGCGCCAACCCTGCGAATATGAAGTTCATTATTTTCACAGGAACCTCCCCAAGTTTCAGGGCGATTGGATGAAAGGTGTAGTACAGTGTTTCTTCCATACTTTTTTCTCGGGGGGGGGGGGGGGGGGGGGGGAAGAGATGCCTGGAACGAACTCTGGTGTAGTAATGCATAAAAGACACACACAAACATTGCTTTATATGTATATATGTATTGTATATACTACATACAAATTAAAGCCCTTTGAGCTGTAATATTGTAAAGAAATAATTATGTTGTGTCCTAGGACGATAGTAGACGATAGGTCTGTTGTGTGTGCGTGTTTTAATTGAAAGCTAGGTTTACGTGCTTTGTCAATGCAGACCATTTAATATTTGACAAATAAATTAGGTGGTAATGTTAAGTGTCTTTATTTTCAAGTTTCGATTAGGTCATTATTATTGCGTCTTTTTTTCGGCAATGGCTTTTTTGTTTACTCTAGAATCAATGACGTCATTTTATTCTGTTAACTTTTTGGCTTTAGAGCTGTACATATTTCGTTTCGAAAGCTTCCTGTCTGTTCCATATGACGTCACTTTCTTTCACTATGCATCTTTTACTTTTCCTTGCGTTTTCTCTAGAGCGTTCCGGAAAGACAGAGTGACAGAATACCAAAACTATTATTTATTTATTATCTACGAGATAAACGGTCCGTTGATAGAGAGATACAACGGGCGAAAGGTTGATAGTGTAGTCTCTTTTCTCTAAACCAAAACCACCACCCTCAACTTCAAATTTAACCGGAAACGAAAAATGACATTGAAAACTGATTTTTATCCAGAATCGGCATTTTAATATTATTTAAACTTGAACAACACGTAGCTACTGCACATTGATACTAAATATAGTCGTAGCCATACCCCTTAATCTTGCACAAATCTCAAACATGACATAAGTCGCATTTAGAGTTTCTTACAGGAGACTCCACGGGGAGGGAGGTTAGGGGCGGGCTGCGCCCACACCAACCACTCCGAAACACTTCTACTTCTACCGTCCCCTTCAACGA